GAGGAAGGAGTGATATAGCATAGGGACATGTTGTTAAGGGCGTTGATGAAAATGGAAGGAAGACATTAACATGTCTACATTGTTCAAAGGTGATTAGAGGGGAGGTATTTATCATATGAAACTCCATCTAGTGGGAGTAAAGGGGGAAGTTGGAACGTGTTCCAAGGTTCCTTTTGATGTTAAATTTCAAATGAAAGAGGCACTAAATGATATTGAGGTAAAGAATACCCAAAAAGCAGAGACTTGTAAGCATACACATCCTTATGGTGCTAGCGTTAATGGATTTGAGGGCAACATGTTAGGTGAAGATTGTCAAGAGGTGCATCCAGAAATGACCATGAATGAAGGTGGTTTTGCTAAAAAAAAAAACCACTTACAATCCCTAATACTAATAGAAATAAACCAATTGGGATTAGTAACTACTTTGCTCCAAGGACTACTCTTGGGTCTTAGCCCTCAATTAAGAGTGTTTTGGCTGGGAAAGATGCTATGTGGAGAGATAATATGGCTTTTGTAAGGTTTTTTTATGATTTTTGCATCCCTATCAATGCAATAAATTCAATTTATCTTCAACTCATTGGTGGATGCTATCGCTGCAATAGGTACTAGGTATAAACACCCAACTTATCATGCTATGCGAGTAAATTTACTAAGAGATGCTAAGAAGGAAGTGCAACTACTTGTGGACAGTTATAGGAAAACATGGGAAGAGGTTGGATGTATGTTAATGGTGGATGGTTGGACTGATAATTCCCAAAGGTCATTGATTAATTTTCTTATGTACTACCTTAAAGGAGTTTCCTTTGCAAAGTCAGTGGATGCTTCAAATGTTGTGAAGGATGTTGGGACATTGTTCACCTTACTTGAGGAATTGACTTTATAGGTTGGACCAAATAACAGTGTCCATCATGTCACTGACAATGGAGCAAATTATAAAGCTGTGGGAAGAGTGTTAGCTGAGAAATATAAGAGTATAACTTGGTCGCCTTGTGCTACACATTGCATAAACTTGATGTTAAGGATACAACTAAGATGGATCACATAGCTACTCTTGCGAAACATGCATCTGAGGTGACAAAGTTTGTGTATTTGATAGCATGGTTGAGGAAAAGACATGTAATATATCTTTAGCTTATTTTATTGTGAAGTTATAAGTCATAACATATTAATTATTATCTAGAAAACAATTTTACTAACATCTATATTTGTCTTCTTTCACTTAATAGGGTTGGACGGAAATTGTACGCCTAGGAGCAACCCGTTTTGCTACAACTTTCATTGCCTTGAGAAGTCTATAGGATCACAAGCATGACTTGCAAGCCATGGTGACAGACAGATTCTTTGTGGATTCTACATATGCAAAAAGTCATAAAGGCAAGGAAGTTATTCCCATAATTCTAGACAATGACTTTTGGGACGCAATGTGTATAGTTTCCAAAGTTGTGGATCCGTTGATGCGTATGCTATGGATTGTAGACTCAAATGAGAGTCCTTCCATAGGATATGTGTATGATGGCATGTACAGAAAAAGGTTGGGGATCAAGAAGTTGTTTAAGAATAAGAAGAGATTGTGCAAGCCTTATACAAACATTATTAAGTTGTGATGGGATAAGATGTTACGCCATGATATTCATGTTGCAACTTACTTTTTAAATCCAGCTTTCCAATATGATAGTGGATTTAGCTCCAAACCGAGGTTCAATGTGGTTTCCTTGATGTTGTTAAAAGTAAGGCAAGTGCGTTCAAATTAAACAAGAATGCGTTGGTGGAGGAGAGTAGATTATTTCAAGACTGCGAAGGGAGCTTTTCTTAGGAACTTGCAATTCAAACATGCAAAACCACACGACCTGGTATGTATTATGTAATAGTTATTTAATTTGTGAGTTTTAAGTTTGATTTCCACATTATGAATTAAAGTTTTTTCTTGTAGATGAATGGTGGAGAACATATGGGTATAGTACTCCAAATTTACAAAAGTTTGTAATCAAAATTCTTAGTCAGACTTCAACCTCTTCCGAGAATGAGCGAAATTGGAGTGTTTTTGAGTGCATACATTCAAAAACAAGGAATAGATTTGAGCATCAACGATTAAATGATCTTGTCTTTGTTCGTTATAACTTGCGGTTGAAAAATAGGTAGAAAAACATTGTCAATTACGCTATACTCATTTTCTCATCATTCTTATTTTCCTTGATCTTTTTATTTGTCACGCTTTTAAATTTTAATAGTTAAAAATGGTCTTCTAGGATGAGTTATAAGAATACTAGCTTTGATCCTATTGATTATGAGAGTATTGACAAGACTGGCTTCTAGGTGGTTGACGAGGAAAAGGAGGATGCTGATCTTAATTGAGGAATTAGAACAAGCACTTTAGGGAGAGGGATCACCATTGGTCCTGGTGATCACCCTGCCTATTATGATTCTACAAAAGCTGCTGGAGGTTTTAACTTCTAACTAATAACTTTCATTTATGTTATTTAATTTAACTTAGTTTGTTAAATTTTATATTACATTAGTCAATTTAGTTTACAATCAAAAAATTTAACTAATAACTTTATTTTTGCTTGCAATTTTTTGTAGATGCTGGTTATGCTGATGATGACGATGACAACGATGAAGATGATCTTGATATAAGTAATTTTGCCTCTGGATCTGGTGCCCAAAATCAGCCTTGACTTGGAAATGTAATAGAAATATAGGATGTTGGTTTCATTTTGATTGTGTTGTTTTAAACTACTTGTTTTATACTTTATAACTTGGTATGTTGTAGTTTTAATTTCATTTCAGATTTGGATGAATTTGTTACAAGAGATTTTTTATTATCAATGTTAAAATCTGTAATTTTTCACTGTTTTTTTAGTTTTTTGCTGACATTGTCATACTGATGTCAGCATGATGATGTCACAGTCCTACCAGTCGGTCGGATCATCCAATCCGTCAAACCCAGGACCTAGTGACTTAGTCAGGTTGCTCTCTGGTTTGGGTTTTAAAACCTCGCTTAGAAATCCTAGGCACATCACTTTCACTTCTGTTGTAGTAACTGTCAATTTGCGTCTTCTTATGATATGCAATTCGATCACGGGATATCATTATATAACCGTTGGAGGCAGCGTTTTAGAATGGTTTATATTTGTTTTTATATACGCGGGTATTATGACCCCATATGATCGAGACAGGTGAGTGCTCTGCCTTTTTCTGCGTTTGTTTCATTGCTTTATTTTTATAATTTTTCTTGTGGGGGATGTCTATCATCGATGCCTCTATTGTAATTGTATATGTTCTGATTTTCTCTTTTTTATTTTCTTATATTCAATGCAGGAGAATGTTTATTTCGTCATATATGTCTTAATGAGTACATTCTATTTCTACTTTACACTTACTCTTGTGCCAGTAGTTGCGCTTTTCGGTGACTTCATTTACCAAGGGTAAGGTTCAGAAACACGTATCTTGAAATACTACAGTTTTTATAAATGTCATGTATCTTAGGTGTATGGCCAATGTATTGTTTATAGTTATCATGCATGATTGTTCAATGCTCTGGATTTCACCCAAAAAAAACTGGCCATCGTGATAATATTGGCACCAGATGTTTTTGTGCATGTGATCTTAATTATCTCTGCCCTTGATAGTTCTCTTTTTGTTGCTTGTCATGATTCTGGCTTATTTGGTTTGTGATTTTTGGTGGTGCCTTAAGGTACATTTTCTCTTTGTTATTTTTGACACTTCGTTCTAACGTTCATTTGAATGCAGTGTTCAAAGATGGTTTGCTCCCTAATTGTCAGATTGTTCAGGAAATCCACCGGCACGAACCTGATGAAAGAAGAACAGGGTTGTTGGAGGTTGCTAACCAGCTTACACCTGAAGAGGCAAGAAGCTTTGCAATAGCTCAACTCCCACGAGAATTATCAAAACATACTGTATTTGCGATTGATTCGCCCGGGTACGAGTCATTTTTTGTGTCAAAGTTAGGTATATATGACAAGGTTGTCATATCGCATATAGTATTATATATCGAAAACCTAATTTTTTAAATGATGTATTATATATCATAAAATATGATACACCTTTTTAAAAAAAATAATAAAAAATTTCTAAAAATTAATATCATCCCCATGATTAATGAATGAATTTTTTAGTATTATTGACTTTAAATTATGGTATTATATAATTAACATTAATATCAAAATTAAGAATCTATATTTTTTCTTCTCAACCATTCATATCATTTCCAAGATCAATATTAATATCAATATCTCTATTTGTATTATTACTATCATGCAAAATGGGCAACACATCTTTCTTTTCACTTTCTTTATGAAAAATTAGTAAATTTGGACAGGTTTTAGTGAACCAAGTTGGGTGCCTAGATCTGACCATAAAAAATTTTTAGGCTTTCAGCCCAAATTAATAAAGTTGTATCGATTTATATCAATATTTTTAAGGATACGAACGGATACATATCAACGTATCGAAAAATTTAAGATATACTCTCTGATACGTATCATTGGCGATCCATATCGAACCGTATTGTAGGATACTAATAACCATGGTATATGCATCACAAAAGGCATGGTGTGTTGCTGGGACAGCCAGCATGAGGTCACGGCCTAAATTACCAAAAAAGAACTAATAATCCTATAATATTGTACAAAATTTTGACGGTCATCTTTACAGAAATTTGTAAAATTAGCTCTTGCATACTTCGTTGTTTTTTTTTTTTTTTTTTTAAATTTTTGTTCCACTACAAATCTGTTTATTATTATTTTTTTTTTCTCGACGAATCCATCACAGAATTTACCAGGTTTGTCATGGATGTACAGCTACTTAAAAAAGTACCAAGGAGATTGTTTTTGACAGTGCAGTTTAAGCTAATTTAATTCCAGATTCAAGTTGTACGTGAGTTGCTTAATGCGTTAAATGATTCATTGTTACCCAATGCTGTGACAGATTTAAAATGGCATGTAGCTTAAGCTTAAAATAAATATTATTCACATAAAATTTCATACACCTTTCTCTCTCAAAACAAAAAAGTACGACCAACTAATCAACATTATGGTAAAAGAAACAACAATTGTGACAAAAGTAAAGTAACTATCATTGTTGGATGAATTTGTAGCTTCTTTTTCTTTGATCTCTTGCATTTCTTGTTCAACTTGAGTACCTTCTTGTTCTTTGATCTCTTGCATTTCTTGTTCAACTTGAGTACCTTCTTGTTCTTTGATCTCTTGCATTTCTTGTTCAACTTGAGTACCTGCTTCAGACATTTGATCATCTTCATCTTCTCCGAAAGAAGCAAAAAAATGAACTAGCTTTTCTGATACAGATAGTTGGCTTTCCTCTAATGAATTCTCATCCCCATCATAATCATCATCATTTTCGTATACCAGATAAATCCCACATTTCTTCAGTTCAACCCCCTTGTCAACTGGTGGGTCTCTTTTGGATACCTGTATCTTATAACCATCTTTCAACATCATAACCAATGAATCACCATACACTGAATATCGACAAAAGTGAACTTGATCGTCATTTGTCTTCGGTACCCCCCGTAAATCCAAAGTGGTGTAAAATATAGGTTTATCCGGTGTGGTGATTGTTGCTCTTATGTCCACTACTCCAGGGAGTTGAAATCTCACATCATCTGGTATCTGATGGTCAAGAGCGATGACTACACCTATGATCACAGCTTTGATCTCTAGGTTTTTCCGTTTTGAAAATCTAACAATATTTGGAGTAAACCATTCTGGAATTTTGCTTCCAGGCATACTTAGATAGCGTAATTTCTTCAAATGAACCTACAAATTGCAATAAGAGACCGTCAAAACTAGACAAAATCTTATTTATGGAACTTAGCATTAAGAGTATTAGGATGGTTTAGTTGAGAAGAATTATATAGAGTAACAATTTACACACACATGATAGGAATTGAGGAACTGAGGGAGATTGAGAGAGAACCTTAGAAAGTCTTTTCTTCACTACTGCAGAGCATGCATTGCAACAACTCATGTGCAAACGTCTCAAGGACTTTAAACATTCAAGGCCAGGAATATCCATCACTTTCTCACAGTTTGTAAGGTTCAGTAACTTTAAGCTCTCCAAGTTTGAAAGGTCATGTATTCTTTCCAATTCAAAACAGTCTGCAACATTTATCTCTTCCAAACTAGAGGGAAGAGGAGGGAGAAACTTGAGTTCTTCACACTCGCACAACCAAAGCTTTTTGAGAAAGGAGAGTCCCCTCATGCTAGATGGAAGGCTGTGAAAATTGTTGTTGTCTAGTCTCAAGATTTCTAAACGTGATAACTTGTCAAAATCATCAGGAATTTTACCACAGATTCTACAAGAACGTGCATCCAGTTCTTCCAGCAATGTGAGATTTGTGAAAGATGCTGGCAGTACCACATTAGTCATCATTGGCTCAGATTTTCCAGGCATTTTTAAAGGTGGCTTTTTCGCCATTCTCAATACCATTAAGCTTGAAAGCATACCAAAGCTTTCTGGTAACTCTGTTATGGCAGTTTCCTCCATTAGCAAATGGACCAAAGACTTCAATTGTCCAATTGAAGCTGGAAGTTTCTGGAGCTGTTTACATTTGTTCATTCTTAATAGAATAAGATTTTCTAACATCCCAATGGATTCGGGCAACTCCAAAATATTGGCTTCAGAAATGTCCAGAGTAGTCAGACTCAACACCCTTCCAATTGATACCGGTAAATTTTTAAGATATTTACAATTCTTCATCCGAAGCTTGTCAAGCATTTTCAAGCCACCAATCTGATCTGGAAGATCTTTGATGGATGTCCCATCTAACTGAAGCTCAACAAGTGAAGCTAATCCTTCAATTGATTCAGGCAATTTGCAAAGGAGTTGACAGTTCCAAACTGAGAAAGTCTTCAAATATGATAATGAACCAATAGAAGTAGGCAGCTCTTTGACTGCAGTTCCACCAATTAAGAATTCTATTAAGGACTTGAGATTCCCAATAGAATAAGGGATTGCAGTCACTAATCTACAGCCAATTAAACTTAGTTGCTGAAGGTTTCCCAAGTATCCAACAGAATATGGTAGTTCTTCTATTGCAGAATGATTAAGGGAGAGTTCCTTCAGAGCATACAGCTTTCCTATACATTCAGGTAGTTGTTTCAAAAGTTTACAGTTATCTAGATTTAGCTTCTCAAGTTTTACAAGGTAAAATATGGAGTTAGGCAGTTTTTCTATAGCAGTGCCATCAAGAAGAAGTTCCTTTAAAGATCTCATACTGCCTAAGTTCTCCGGTAAGTTCTTTAATTCAGAGCAACGAGAAAGGATAAGTTTCTCAAGATGTTTCAGACCTGAGACATCACTTGGGAATTCAATGAGGCTTGAGCATGCTCTGAGGTTCAAATGAAGTAATGTACTCATATTACCAAGAGATTCATGAATCTTAGTCAGTTTAATGCAACCCTCAAGTACAAGCTTTTCCAGGATCTGATGCTTGGATAAATCAGGAATAGCAGCTAGATTCCAGCAACCACGCAGATTCATGACCATCAAGTTCTTAGCCACCTGGCAAACAATAAAATTTTCTTTTGTGATAAAAGAAAACAGTCATATTGAAACTTTTTATGGAGTTGCACAATAGAGAGAATGACTAAGGATATATCAAGGAGAAAAAGCAAAAAAAGAGAGAAATGCATAAGAACTGGAAGAGAAACAGATAAAGCATGAGGAGAAAACCCATATTCTTATTAATCACCAATCAAAGTTTGTTAATAATAACAGAAGTCTTTGTTTCGTAAATTTATAAAACAAAAATCTAATCCTAATCAAATACGAAATAAACATCAAAAACAGTCACAAACAAAATAAAATTCTAAAAATACTCTAGACAAATCAAATCTCTAATCTAATTGAAACAAAGATTATAATAACCTAAGGCCTAATCTATTCGTCCTACATTATATTGGCAGAACAAACCCTGAGCATTTTAGTGGCTTTTGGTAACTCAAACTAAAAGAAAGCAGAAAACTATGTAGTGAGAAGCCTACTTAGGCACAAAAAAAAACATCGTCCTGGTCACCCGTCATAGCCAAAATTATGATGATAAGAAGTAAAGCATACCTTGTTAGTGTACGAACCCCACACATGTTCAATGGCACTATTTGAGAGATCAAGAACAGCAAGTTGGAAAGGACAAAAATCAGAAGGAAGACTTTTCACTGTGCATTTTTTCCATTGCAGCCACTTCAGTTCAGCCGGAAGAAATTTAAATTTCCCTTCCAATTTTATATGATTGATCTGAAGCAGTCTCAGACTAACCATTGATTCAAAAGATTTAGTGTAAAGTATTGTCTCTCTCTCATTTTCTGATCCATGTTGATAAAGTTTTTTGTATCTTTCTTTCAAATATGTAACAGCAGGGATGAGACTTAGCCTTCGTTCATGATTACCCCAGAAATTTGTGCCAGCACTTGAGTTCTTCTTCTTCGAGATTCCTTCTTTAAAGTCTAAGACAATACCCTGTATACTTCTTGTTCCCTGCGTCCAGAAATACGGATACTACTTTTAAGACGAACAGAACCATTTAGGAGGGAAAACAACTACTCCCAATGTAAAACCATGTAAACTCTAAGATAGGATGAGGATATCATGTCACTCATATGGCTATTAAATAAAATTATATCATATATATATAGTTACTTTCCCTTTCATCCAAGACGCAACGAAATTATCAATACTGATATGATAATTCAGTGACTGGAGCAAATTGTACCAAAAAACAAAAAACTCTTAAGTCAAATATGTCCACAATGGTATGCAAGTGCACACACTCGTGTGTGCACTTCAGGAGAACCTTTGCCAGTTAAGTGAATTGCTATATGTTAAAATCTGAACCAAATTATGTTGTTTTGCAGTGGTTATACTGATTTTTTATATTGACGACGACACCCAAATCTATAAGTGCCAAATCTACAAGTGGAATGGAAATTTACGAATACAGTACAGGGAGAGTGACAACCGGAGATAAGGGACCACTTTACTCTCATATGAAAACATGGACACGTGAGCTCCTCTGGAATCCATAAACTCAAATAATCTGTCACTACGAAAATGTCGCTGGTATAGAACTTAGATTCTAATTTCATTCGACCAAATTGATGGTATGAGGAGATTTCATTCGGCAAAAGAAACTTCAGAAATTTAGTTTAGTTGGTAAGGTCTAATGGTCTTTTGCAATTGTACATGAAGTCTAGGGATTTAAGAAAATTCTAAAAAAAAAAAAAAATGAAAGAAAAAGAAAAAAACAGAACAAATAAAGATTGTTAATCAAGAGGCATTTGCTGTTATCCATTACCTTTTTCAGCATCAACACAGACATGATTTCATGACGATCCCACAGTCTACTACGCTGTCCAGCATCTAGAAGGTTCTGCTGTTGAACAATTTGTCTGCCCATGTCTCTAAGTTGATCATGCATCCACAAAGTATCATCTTTAGCAATCTTGATGAGTGATTTTGCCACAAGGACAGAGATTGCTATCTCAGCTCTAAATCCACAACCCTTCAATATGTCTATAGCCTCTTCTCTCTTCATCTCCATTTCAACAAAGAGACATGCGATGTCAAGGAATATGCACTTATCTTGTTCATCTAGCCCATCAAAGCTTATCTTTAGTATTCCTTGAAGATTATCAGGACGAATCTCACTTAACTTTCCCATTGCATCTTCCCATTCCAGGATCGTCCTCTTATCGAACAAAAAAGCACCAAATACCTCAAGAGCCAATGGTACCCCTCCTGTAAGTGACACAAATTGCTTAGACAGATTCAAAAACTGGTCTGCAGGTTTCTCTCTTTTAAATGCATGGTAACTAAAAAGTCGGAGTGACTCAGAGGGATCCAACTTTTGTACATCGTGGTGCGCATAATTTTCAGGTAAAACCCCTCTATTTCTTGTGGTAATAATAATTCGACTTCCTTCACAGAACCATTCTTTCTTTCCACACAGTGCATTTAGTTGGCTTATATCATCAACATCATCGAAAACAGCAATAACTTTTCTCTCTTCAAGTATCCCTTTGATAGCCTCAATATTTACCTTAACCTCATTTGTAACAACCACCTCATTATCAGGGTAAAGATCATCAATAAGTTTCTTTTGTAGAGATATCAATCCATCAACTTTTCCTGAAATCTCTCTAACATTTGAAATGAAACTGCGATGCTCAAATTGCCCAACAAATTTATTGTAAACAGCCTTTGCAAGGGTTGTCTTACCAACCCCACCCATCCCATGAAGCCCCAGAACCAGAATGCCTCTGGATTTTACATCTAACAACCTCACAAGTTGTTCCACACGAGAATTAAGTCCAACTGTATAAGCAGCCACTCTTATTGGAGTATTACTCAATTCAGTCGAAATCCTTTTGACTAAAAGTTGCACCAGTTGCTCTTCGTCCCTGCCATATTATATGATCATCAGCAACAATAATTGACCAAAACTATAAATTAACTTTTCCATTTTTATAATGCACTTGTGCACATTTGATATAAAAAGATAGTTGGGCTCCCATGAGGGTTCTTGATTGATTTAAAATTCCCTTAATTGAACTAGTCAGCGAGAAAAAGGATTCTTTGGACATTAAAGAATATTAAAATGCACATATTAAATTATTATCTAATACAATACAAACAACATGGAATTAAATATCTAATTTAGCTTTTCAAGCTTAAAAAACCCAATGTGGAATCAAGCAATTAATTACCAGTTAACGAAAACCCAACCAGAAATACCACCAATTTTTGCCATAGCTTTCCTCCATTTCAACACCATTTCTTGTCCAAATCTCTCTTCATGGTTCTTAAAATGCTCTCTAAAAGATCCTTGTTGTCGCCTAACATGGGAGGGATCAACTTGGTAGAACACAGGCAGAATCAGTCTATTTAACTCGCATATTTTACCCAGCTCTTCAAGGCACCACCTAGAAGAGGCATAATTGGGCGAGAGAATGACAATAGAAGCCGCGGAGTCATAGATGGCTTCAAACAGACTAGGAGCAATCTCGTCCCCACGGTTCAAGCCCTCGTCGTCTCTAAAGACTCTGATTCCATGCTTATGAAGTGAGTCGTATAGGCTGTGCGTGATGGTGTGGCGCGTATCTTCACCTCTGAAACTTAAAAACACGTCCCAACGGAGCCTGAAAGGTTCCGGCGTGTATGAAGCAGCATCGCTTGCCATTTGGGTCTTTAATGTCAAGGTCAAGGCTCTGGTTCTCAGAAAGTCAAAAAAGAAGAAGAAGAAGAAGGAAGAACATAACCGTTGCTTTTGCAAAGAGTAATAAATAATAAGAAGAAGAAAGGAAGAATATATTCGTTGCTTTTGCAAATAATTGATATAATAATTCTAAAAAAATGGTAGTATAGACAATACTACTCACCCAATCAGTTGTAAATAGACGACCGTAATTGATGAAGAGAAATGAAGCCAGCAAATATTTCCTGTAAGTAAGTTATTTTTTGACAAATAAAAAAGACTATGCAATCACTTCAACGTCCAAGACAATGCAAAACAGTAGTGTACAGAATACATGGTTCAATTGAATATGCCTGAGAGAAACAATTTGATTGGTTACAAAGAGCCATTGAATATTGGCTAGTTTCAGTGATACTGACTGTTGGTGTTTATCCAATGATTCTTCATCGTCTTCGTCATCAAAATCACCCTCGTTTTTTAAGACCAATGAATTTCAAACTTCTTCGAATTTAGACCATTAAAATATGGTGTCTCTTATGTTGTAGCAGGTGACTAGTCAATTACAATATGCAAATATAATTAAGAGATTATAGAATATCAAAAAAATAATAAGAATATTAAAACTGATAAAATAAGAAGGTCTTAAAATATTTAAGAAATATTGTTAAAACCTCAATACTGAGTGTTAATGAAAAAGTAAAATGTGTTTATTTATTAATCTGTTACAATTAGGATTGTTCAGTTACAAGTTGTAAGCAATCTGTTACAACAGTTAAATTTAGTTATGTTTCAATGTTTCTGTTAACAAAGCACTATAAAAGTGCTACTTACTGTACAGTTATCTTTAAGCTGAATACAATACACTTTTGTGAGCTTCGTTTACTTTTTCTTTACTTCACCTTTTCTTTCTTTTGTCAAGCTTAGGTTAAGAACTGATATGGTATCAGAGCCATTAGACTAGCGTCAAAAATGGTAGATCTGTCACAGCTCACTCCCAATCCGAACAACTCTGGCCAAAAATTAACTACCGATTCTGTCAATCTCACAAATACAGCTCCTATGTCTTCCTCTACGCTTCCAGCAATCTCCCCAAAATTAACCAAAAGCAACTACAGATTCTGGAAATCGCAAATCTTGTTCGCTGTTGGTTCGCACGATTTAGAGGAGCATCTCACCGGATTAGTTTCTTGTCCAGCTCCATTAATCAAAGTTCAAGCCAAGAGTTCTGATGGAGCAACTGAAAAGAAACCCAATCCAGCTCATAATCACTGGAAGAAAGTCGACAAGGTACTTGTAAGTTGGCTTCTTGGATCTATCTCAGAGTCCATGTTTAATGTTGTATCAAATTGTCAATTTGCTGCTGATATGTGGATAGCTTTAGAGAAAGAGTTCCTTATTGAGTCAAGAACCAAAACCGTACACATTAGAAACTTATTGCAAAATACCAACAAAGATAACCTTAGTATTCATGAGTACTTTGTCAAAATGAAGGGATTTGTTGAAACCTTATCTACTAGTGGAATTGTAGTTACAGATGAGGAGTTGCTAAATTACATTCTTGACGGGTTAAACTCTGAATATGATGTTGCTGTAGTAAATATTACTACAAGGTTGGAGTCTAAGTTAGATCCCCTTTCTATCCAAGAAGCTCAAATAATTCTGCAGAAATTTGAACTGAGGTTAGAAAAAGCCAATTTAGCGTTAAACACAGTTATAGGTACTGATTTTCATGGTGGATCAGTACATCTAGCTAGTGTCACCACCGATGAGTCCAGAAAAAAATTCCAAAATGAGCAGTCTTCGTTCAATACTGGGCAGAATCAATTTCAACCAACACAATCTCAGTCTCTTAATTTCACTCCTCATACCTTCACACCTCACCAACCTGGCTTTGGAGCTAATCAATTTACATCACAGAACCATCCCTACTCTCCTCAATTTGCTTGTGGCAGAGGACAAGGCAAGAGAGTTGGAAGAGGCAGAATCATTTGCCAAGTTTGTGGCAAAAGTGGACATCTTGCCCTCAATTGTTATCATTGTTTTGATACAAACTTTTTGGGAGGAGGTAACTCAGTAGGAAGAGGTCAGTTTGGCAGCACCAATTTCCCGAGAACATCAGAAAACTTTCAAGGTTCATCATACCTTCCCTTCACCTTATCACAACCTCCACCACAACCTCCCTACAACTCCTATAACTCTACTTCATTACCTTATCCTAACTCAGGCTCAAAAAATACCACTTCAACTTGCTTTCCAACTAGACCCAATACAGCTCCAGCACGATCACCTACAGGATCTCATTCACCCACATCTACTGGACACAATCAAGTGTTCTTATCTCATACTCATCCACAGCACTACTCACATCCCACAGCCAACTATATTGCTGCTCCTTCAACTATCCAGGATGCATCTTGGTATATGGATTCTAGAGCCACCGACCATGTAACATCAGACCTACCACAACTGTTAGTAAATTCCACCTACAAAGGCCATGAGCAGCTCCAGGTTGGAAATGGTGAGTTACTTCCAATTACTCATACTGGTTTTACTTCACTACCTTGTTCTTCTAGATCCCTTTATCTCAAACATGTTTTATGTGTGCCTCATATCACTAAAAATTTACTAAGTATTTCTAAATTCACTAGAGATAATAATGTAGTAGTTGAGTTCTTTGCTAACCATTGTGTGATTAAGGAGAAACAATCCAAGGTTGTTCTTCTTCAAGGAAGGCTTAAGGATGGTCTTTATCAACTCCAAATTCCAGATTCACAATCTAGTTCAACCTCAAATCAGGCTGCTGGTCCTTCTACCACAATCTCATCCTTCAATTCCACAACTTTTTCCACACCACAAACCACCAAGTTCTTGTTTTCTCCATATTCTGTTGCTTGTAATAATGATACTAATAATAATTTTCCTTCGAATCTTTCAAGTAATGAACTAAATAATTCTGCCACTTCATTTGCATCCTCTTGTACTGATGACACTATTAGCAATAAAAGTCATATCATTTCATCTATTTCAGTTGCCAAAAGTAGTGGTTTGCTATGGCATAAACGCCTAGGTCACCCTAATGCCTCTGTCCTTGCAAAAATTATGCAGTCTCTAAGGTTGAATCATACTGTTGCTAATACTTTTGAATTTTGTACTGCCTATCAATATGGAAAACTGCATCAGAATGTATTCCCTAAATTTGCTTCTAGAGCTTCACATCCTTTAGAACTAGTATATTCAGACTTATAGGGACCATCTCCCATTCCCTCACCTAAAGGTTTTAAGTATTATATTCAGTTTTTAGATGATTATAGCCGTTTTACTTGGATTTTTCCTTTAAAAACAAAATCTGAAACTCAACTTATTTTTAAAGAGTTTCACAAATTGGCTAAAAAACAGTTTAATACTAGCCTAAAGTGTGTCCAAACTTATTGGGGAGGGGAATATAAGAGCTTAGTTTCTTACTTTAGTGATCATGGAATTATTTTTCAACATCCATGTCCCCATACTCATCAACAAAATGGGAGAATAGAGAGGAAACATAGGCAAATAGTTGAACAAGGATTGACTTTACTTGCTCAAGCTAGCATGCCCTTAAAGTTCTGGTGGTTTGCCTTTCAAACTGCCACCTACCTAACAAATAGGTTACCTACACCTGTTTTGTCTAATCTTTCTCCTTTCCAAGTACTGTTTAACAAAGTTCTAGATTATACAGCTATTAGAGTCTTTGGTTGTGCAGTCTATCCTTACCTTAGGCCATACAATTCTCATAAATTTGATTTTCACACTAGTCAATGCACTTTTGTTGGGTATAGTATGCATCACAAAGGATACAAATGCATGGCTTCTAATGGCAGAATTTACATTTGTCAAAGTGTTAAATTTGATGAAACTACCTTCCCCTTTGCTTCCTCTTCATCTTTTCAGTCTCAAACAGCCTCTAATATCTCTTTCCCTGATAATGGTTCAACTCCCTCTTCCTGCTCTATCATTAATCAGTCCACTCCACAAATACCTACCTTTCCTGTCAAAACCTTATCTCCTGTTGTAACTGGTCAGCACTTTAGCTGTCCATCCATAAATGATCAGCAGAACTAATCACTATTACACTCTCCTAGCTTGGTAGATCAGGTTCATAAATTCTCCTCTGTCAGTCCTGGTGCTAATCCAATTAGTGAGTCTACTACAAATACTTTAGATTCAGCAAGTTCCACCAAGTCCACTTCAGGTTAAGATAGTCCTACTACACATCAATCTTCTAAATCTACTACTGTTAGTAGCCCTACAGGTCAAAGCAATCAGTCCACCTCTGTCAGCCTTACACATCACAATAATCATCTTAGTGAGTCCTCTTCTTGTGATAAATCACCTGAACCTATTCATCTTACAATAGATCTTTCTTTTGATACATCATCATTCAAGCCAGCCTCACATTCAGATTCACTTGAGGGTATTAACCTTGTAGTTGACCTACCAATTGAGTCAAAACCTTTAAATAATCACCCCATGATTACTAGGTCCAAAGCCAAGCTTCTTAACTCTATGTTAGTCCCTTCTATCAACACTTCTTCTCACTTGGACACTAGTGAACTAGTAAGTGTTGCTGAAGCACTCTCTCATCCCTCTTGGAAAGCTGCCATGGACAATGAATTTACTACTTTACTCTCAAATAACACTTGGGAGCTTGTTCCAGCAGAATCTCATATGAATGTTGTGGGTTGTAAGTGGGTTTTCCGAATTAAACACAACTCGGATGGTTCTATTCAAAGATATAAAGCCCGGTTAGTGGCTAAAGGCTTCCAACAAACTCCGAGGATTGATTATCTTGAGACCTTTAGTCCTGTCATCAAATCTTCTACAATTAGAATAGTACTTAGCCTAGCTGTCACCTATGGATGGGACATCCAACAAGTTGATGTAAACAATGCCTTTTTGAATGGGGAACTTAGTGAAACAGTGTATATGACTCAACCTTCTGGATTTATTGATCCTGCCAAACCACTCCATGTATGCAAATTGGTCAAGGCTCTATATGGACTTAAACAGGCTCCAAGAGCCTGGTTTGAAAAACTCAAAACTGCATTTC